CTCAGTAATCTCATTTGTTCCCATTCCAGTGATGTGATGATAAATGACAAATGTGTATTCCACTAAGTCCATACATGCACTTTTTCAATCACATTAGTGCTTTAATAAACTGGAAATGACAGAACTCCTGAAGCACATATTTTTATTGAATTAAATATTTAAAATATTTTTCAAATCAACTCATTGGAACAAGATCTGTCAATACTATTAAAAATGTTTTTTCCATGCATTCCCATACTTTAATCATCAACTAACATGCAAGAGAAAGGACAACCAGAGATTTCAGCACCAATTTCTACTCTAAGGAGTTTCTGTCTCTTGCCTCTGGCATCTTTCTGCTGTCCTTTCATATCTCTTCCTCTGCTGCGCCAACACAACCGCAAACCTTATCAAAGAACTAATTTGGCTTAAAAAATAACCCATGTTTCCCCTCAGAATATTCTTAGAGGTCAACCAGTTCCTGGGATGATACTATTATGCAAACTGACACTGCCCATAGAGCTGAATATCCAGACGAAGCATAGATGTCTGGTTTCTTCCTATTGTAAGAATACTGTTCCATTTATATGGGAATACTTATGAAAGTAGCACTTTGGAACAGTTCCTATTTTGAGTTTACACATAACTTAGCAGCAACCCAGTTCCTTGGTTGTCAGTGGATCTGGGATGTTTGATCCCAACTGTTTTGAGGAACACCAATTTCTAACATTTCTCTTACAAGCAATAGGAGTACCTACTGTAGAGTTAATTAATCTCAGGTAGAAATATTCTTTGCTCTCTAAAGCCTTTTGGGTTCTCTGGACAGAATTGCCATAATGTTGGTAAGGCACAAAAGATATTTGTATTTCACCACTTGCTATTTATCTCAAACTATGATATGGTTGTTTGATGGAAACAGATGTACATGAGGAACAAGGTGGCCATTGTCCCATGCACTCCAGTAAGTATCCAAGGCTGAACCATCTAAGAAATGGAAATGAAAAACAAGTGACAATCACAGCAATAGGTGGATCTAAACCAAGACGATTTATCCTCCTAATTTAATTTAGCTAGCATAACAGTCTTTTCTATACCCAGATATTATCCAAAATTACAGAAATTGGCTGCTAAACAAAGTGAATATTTTGTAATGTAGTCTAGGCACAAGAGGAAAGTAAGTTTTGCAGACAGGCAGTATGAGCCAAGGGTTATTTATAAAGTTACACTGTTAAAAAGGATGCAAGAGTTGCATTCGCAATATTGCTCTGATGACTGAAAAGTACTTGCAAAGCATGAGGAAATGTGGTGATACTTTGTTTAAAATGAAAATAATTGCAAGATCATCTTTCTTAGAAATAAAAATAGAACCTTAGAAATAAAATCTTGAAGGTTTTTGATGTCAACTTATGATCGGTATATTCTTCTATAGGCTTCAGTGGAGCCATGCGTGTGGTGTGAAATGCAAATGACTAATGAAAATAACATTTGCTGTGCATAAGGCTGTCTTTTGCCCATATTGTATGTTGTCTGGAGTGGCAGGCAGCAGACAGGAAGTATTATTCCTCCTTCAAATTTCATTACAAGAACTTTAATTTGGGAAAAGAACTTTAATTTGGGAAAAGAAAGGAGTGGGGGGCAGTCTTTTTCATCCTATCATCTCCTGGTTTTCCCATCTGTAAAATAAAAATTACATCCACCTGCCTGTCCTTATCGTACTTGGTGCAGTGAAGTGGAAGCTGTATACGTATGTACGCCCAAGTTTTGTGTGTAGTTTTGTGATCTTATAGTTCTCATGTACATATCTCCACAGAAGTTTGTGTCACTTAAAAGGAAAATGGGTAAATTTATTTTCCATTTATTTTTGTTAGCATCAGATTGTCTCATCTTGAGTTTTCATCCTGCAGTATTTTCATCTGAAATCAGTGTTGGTTTTTCCATAACCTAAGTATATGAAGGCAAGGTCACAAAACACAAAAAGAGACACAAGATACATCATGTTGTATTTAGAAATCCCATAGGTATGTTCCAGAAGAGTACAGACTCCTTAAAACAAAGAGATAATAAATTTCTTGAAAAACAGGGGAAGAATTTGCAAGTCTGAGTGGCAGGGTGTGTTTGCAGTACAGATGATATTAAAGTATTTCATCTTTTCAGCCTGTAGGTGGGACTGTGTTTTCAGTGAACCCATCTGTGAAAAAAATTCTGAATCTGCATCGGCAGCTCAGGCTGCTGCTAACGCTAGCTGGAGTGAGTCAAGTGATTCTTAACTTGTGCTTGCATTATTTCTGGGGGGAAAATAGCCTGTGTCCGAAATTACTTTAGTCCTGAAGGACCAGCCTGAAATCTCTGTTCTCACTGAAATCCGTGGGCATTCTGCCTGCTACAAATCCACAACTGCCGGATTTGTTCCTATTAAAATGCATTTATATAGCTGAAAAAAATAATGTCTGTGGAAAAATGTTGAATTTATAGCTATGGAAAATACTGTAAGTGAACTAATGATGAAGCAGATTAAGTGACATTTTGATTTGGGATTAACAAGTAAATTCTCATGCATAACTTCCTGGCTCAGAAAAATAAATCAATCACAGGCTGGGATTCTTCCTCATAAAACCTCTCAGGGTAAAGAGGAACAGCAGAAATGTTCATGGCACTTTGGGTCCACAGAGACACTGTGACTCCCCTAACACTGAGTACAATTCCTCAGGTAAGGACCACATACTGCGGGCCAAATGTTTTTGTGAAAGCGTTGAAATTGGACTTTGATGCTATCGCTGCTACACAGGACTGCCTAGATGCCTTTCATTTCTTTTTTTGCCTCATGCTGGCCCTGCTTCTCCCGCTCTTATTCATTCCCAGCAGTACTTTACCTCACAAGGAGCAGCTCGTGTGAAGGGATAGCAGCCCTGTGATTTATGGGCTTACTATCTCTTCTGTTGTGTTTACACAGCTTACGCTTAAATAAGACAGCGAGGAGAGTATGGAGCTCACGTAAAATGAAAAAGTTATTCTGGCGGGGATAGGAGGAAATCAAGAGAGATCTGACCAGATTTTGGTGTTGTAAACACATCTGTAGGGTCACCATAAAGCAATGACTACAAAGGTCAGCATTTCAAAATGTGTCTTAAGAAAATGTTTTTGCAAGCTTTGTGGCAAAGATGGCTGGCGTGTTGTATATTGTAACATTCTGCTTAATCTCTGCTATGTTATACGGAGTCATTTACAACAAAAAATGCCTGACATAACTTACAGCACAGGAACACACAAAACCAGCTTCACCAGGGTGGATGTTTATGTAATCTTCAAGAACACTCTGAAGTTTGATTCAGTAATCAAATAAAACTATGAGAGGCACATTTTTCAGAGACACTACCCATCTTTGAATTTCTGAGCTTCTTTATTTTACCGAGCCTTGTTAGATAAATGCCGATGATTATTTCTCTACATCGTGTTATCCGCTGTTTTCACTTCACTTCTCGATTGTAATTGCACAAGCTTTCAGCTTTTCTTTATTTAATTGAGGCATCTTAAAAGGTGAGCAGATGTTCACCGCAGGTGTGCAGGTTTCCCATTCATAGCTTGCAGAGCGAAGGCAGCAACAAAAGTTAAGTTTACACACACTGCCCTGACAACGACCTCTGTGCTGAACTAAACAAACCCCTTCTGTAAAGCCAGAAGCAGTTCACTCACCTTTTGAACGCAAACCTGGCACTGTCTGAATAACCATAAAACATCAAACCGTGCAGCCCTGCTCTGGTTTTGAGGATATGTGCTGTTACAGGGCACAGAAAACTCCACAGAGAGCCATCCTTTAGGATTGTGCCATCAAAAAGCATCGGGTATTCCAAAGCCTCTTTCACAAAGCATTCTACACATTTCATATCACTTTATTTCAGAAAAGGTGTGCCCATTTTCAGTGGACGCTAACAAAATCTTAAACATAGCAGCTTTATGGCCAATGAGTAGAGCTGAACAGGGATGCCCTTCTGACTGGGCAGTGTTGTCACAAGAATTCAAAAAGTTCTTTTTTCACAAGAAAATAATTTCAGAAAAGGACTTGTCTCCTTCACTGGGGGTGACCTCTGCTGCTTGGGGCATGAAATTGTGTCTCAGACACAGCGGGAAGCAACAGAAAATGGCATCTGGACCTTCTTGGCACGGGGGTCTCTGAAAGACCCCAGAGGGACACAGGCAGGGGTCACCTATCCAGTGCCAACTTCCTTACAGGGTTATGCCGTGCACGGGCACCTTTCTGGGTGAGGAGATGGAAGCCTGTGTCTTGCTGCGGAGCCCTTCAGGCTGCTACCTGCATCCTCTGGTGCTGATGCTGCAACCTCTCCTTCCCAAATGCCCCAGCCCTGCGACGCACCGTCCACTGAGCCCTTGGCGTTGCTTAAGTGCTTTTCTTATGCAGCTTAAGCAGACTGGAGCAACCCCAAAAAACTATGAAAGTGCAACGGGATCCTTTTACTCCCCGGCCCCAACTGAGGGGGACTCGAGTGGTTGGGGCGTGGGGAAGGGCAGCGAGCGGAGCAGGAAGGTGCACGAATTACACACACATCAGTGTCAGATGCGTGCGATAAGGACACCCCCCGCCCGCCCGCGAAGGTGTGCGGGGCGGGGGGACCGCCGGAGGGAGGGGGCGGGCGGGAGGGAGAGCCCGGTCCGGCTCCTCCCTGCGCACAAACCCGGCCGCGCCGCGCTGGGTGTGCGGAGACGCCGCCGCCGCTCCCGCGCTACTTAAGCGGGGAGGGCGCAGCCCGGCAGCCCCGCGGGGGGATCCGGCGGGGGGGAGGGCGAACAATCATAGTAATAATCGTCTGTCTCTAAGAGAACGGGAAAAGCACAGCCGAGATGCTCCGTCCGTGACCCGCAGGCGGGGAGAGGGGTGGGGGGCCAGGTTGTGAGTCCGCCAAACACCTGAGAAATAAAGCACGACCGAACAATTTTCGAGGCGGGCGGGGGAAGTGGGGGGCGAAAAGTTTGCCGGAGCTCGGGCTTCTCTGGAGGGGGCGGGCGCGATGCCGCCCTGGCTGCTCGGCAGCCTCTGCTGCGTGCTGGCGGCGCGGGCGGCGCTGGGCGGCGGCTCCGCGGGCGCGGAGGAGGAGGAGGAGGAGAAGCTGATCCGGGTGCTGGTGCTGCTGCCGCAGGACGACGCCTACCTCTTCTCGCTGGGGCGGGTGCGCCCGGCCATCGAGTACGCGGTGCGGAGCCTGCGGGAGAGCGGCGCGGGTCTGCCGCCCGGCTACACCTTCCAGCTCACCTACGAGGACTCGGCGTGCGGCAACCGCGCCCTGTTCAGCCTGGTGGACATGGTGGCCCTGCAGCGCCGCCGCCCCGACCTGCTGCTGGGGCCCGTGTGCGAGTACGCGGCGGCGCCGGTGGCGCGGCTGGCGGCGCACTGGGACGTGCCGATGCTGTCGGCGGGCGCGCTGGCCGCGGGATTCGGCGCCAAGGGCGGCGAGTACTCGCACCTCACCCGCGTGGCCCCCGCCTACGCCAAGATGGGCGAGATGCTGCTGGCCCTATTCCGCCACCACCAGTGGAACCGGGCCACGCTGCTCTACAGCGACAGCAACCCCGAGCGCAGCTGCTACTTCGCCATGGAGGGCGTCCATGTGGTCTTCCAGGAGGAAGCCTTCCACATGGCCGTGCACAGCTTCGACGAGACCAGCCGCCACCTCGACCTCGACGACGTCGTCCGCGCTCTCCAGACCGGCGAGAGGGGTGAGTGAGTGTCTACGAAGCGCCCGGCTTGGCTCCTCGGTTTAAGGCTGGGACAGTGGGAACCCCCGGGGAGGGAAGGACCTGCGGGATGTGGGGGAGTCATGGTCCGTCTGCGCCCCTGGGGAAACTCGCTGCGGTGCTGTGGCGGCGTCCCCGGGCCGGGCATTCCCTGGCAGATGAGAACTAACAGCCCGGAGTGAAAGCACTGCCCGCAAAGGTTCACTACAGCTTTGCCTCCCAAGGCGGAGAGGGCGGCTCTCTCAGGGACCACGATAGGAGGGTTTTGTGGCATAGTAAGAAATCTGCTTTCTGCTGACAGTTTGGTTTACTCAAAATTGCCCATATCTACAGGGCAGCAAATCTGTTGCTTATTCTCTGATATTTTTGCAGTGACTCTGTAAGTTCAAAGACTAAGTAAGGATGTTTTCTCACTCCACTGTATCTTGTAGCGGGAGCTATTTTCACACTCCTGCCATTGGGAGCCCCTTCGAGTACCTCATAAATTATAACAAATGCGTTTAGAGGAGGCAGTCATTTCAGGAGTTAAGTGCATGAGAAACACCTGAGTTCGTGCTGTGATATTGCCAATTGTTAGCGAATCAGTGTGGAGATAAGTGACTTGTAAAACGTCTTGGACAGCCACCCCGGGGCTGGATGAACTGGCTCTGCATCGTGAAGCAGTAAAACAAAGTGCTTTGAAACGTGCAGTTTTGTAGTTTAGATGTGTTTTAAAGTGAGATCTTGCCAAGCAACGTGTGGGTATATGGGCTTATCAGAAAGATGTTTTCTGTTAGAGGGTTTTACCAGACACAGGCTTTCCCGGTAAGTTATTGCAAAAGAAAAGATGTATTCCGGGAGTAGACCACATGATAAAGTAAAAGTACTTCGAAATCTTCCGAAAGAGCCATAGGTACGTGAAACCCTTTGTACAATTGTTACATATCTTTGTTTTAGAGTGTTAAAATAGCATCAGAATTGGACAGAGAGTGCTATATGTGGTTGGCAGAAGTGGTGTTTTGGTGCTGTAGACTGTGGATGGAGAGGCATTGCACTGCTGATGCCGTTGTGCTGCTGTGAAATCCTTAATATGTGCAGGAGTGTGTGTGAGATAACTGAGGTCTAACAGCATATGGGTATTTAATTCTCTATTCACTGTTTTGTTCAGTAGGTGCTTAAAGTAGAGCTTTCCGTGTAAGTATGATTCAGGGAAATGCAATGAACGGGGGAGAAAGAAATGTGTCAGTGCTGGAAGAAATCCCTGTGTGGGGAAAGATGCTAGTCATGTGTCTGCGTGTGCAGCTTTCCTGATGCTGAGAGCATAGCAGCATTCTTAGAACAGGAAAAGACAAGTGCTTACTCCAACCCTGCCCTTCAGACTATGCTCACAGTCAGGGAAGAAGAGAGGCTTGCTTTCAGTCTGATCCTAAATGCTTTGCTGAAGTGAGACCTTTGGTCTTTCACTATTCTGTAAGTTGCAAATGACTGAGCAGAAGCAGTTTTTGCCCCCCTTGTGCCCTCTGGGGTCCCTCCCTTCATCTCACCTCTTCATTTGTCATCTGACTCATGTCACTACTGCAAAATACAGCAAACGGGGCCCCCAGCCTTCACTTGTGCCTTTCGGACTTTAAAGACTGACTGCAGGACTCACCTGGTGCATTCCTTTGTGATCTTTAGGTTACCACAATATTTTAAGTTATACATCATGTGGGTTCACTGTGTGCTTTAGCTGACCAGATGTGGTCTTCGTGTTTCGGAGGAACTCCTTGGAGCTCCCTATTGTGGCCAACAGGGCACTGTCCAAGGCGCTTTATAGAAATGTTTTTGTTTGATTTGTTTCCAGTTTTTGATGGCTCCTGTGTCGCAGCTACTGTGACACTCTGCTGGGCGCTGACCCTGCACCATCTCATGTTTCTGCTGCTGGCTGGGGTCCCACCCGAGTGGTCAAGCTTCCTTGAGCTGCCTGGGTGGGAGTGGGCTTTTGAGCAGATACAGAATATCTGCTTGAAACTCTCCCAGAACCGAGAAAGAAACTGCCCCATTAGCTGTCCTATGGGGCCCGAGACAGGGCTGACCCCATGGACTAGGCTGCTTCTGGCTGGGGGTTGGCACCGAGCTCTCAGCAGTCTGGGAGGAAGAGGAACACTCAGCCATGCACCCTTGTTTACCAGGGACTGCCTGTTCAATCCCTGGAGCCACTTGAAAAAAACTGAAGTCTTGGAACCACAACAAAATCATGAAAAATATGATAATAAAAGTTAGGCACTTGTCTTCAAGTAATTTCATTAGTAGTTCAGGTTCCCTTATAGGCTCAGTTGGCTGCACTGCAGACTTGATGCTGTAGGCTGAGGTCACAAACGCAGGACTGTGCTTAAATGCAAAAGCATATAGTTCAAGGCATGTGTGTAGCAAAGGGAACTCTTACTCCTTTAGCTGGAACTAAACTCTAAAGTATTTGCAGGATGAGTCAATAATCCTAGTCAATAAATTCAGCATGTTAGTGATAGAATTACTGTGGTCTGTGTGTATTATGCTGGAGGGAGAACATTTTGTGTATGTTTGCTCTTACGTGTTTGTATGTACACAACAGTATAGTGTAGATGCAGATTAAATACATAACTTTAGTTTTTTGAAGTGAGAGGCATGTCCATAGTTATTTGCTTCAAAATCTTGAAATATGTAATCTTTGCTCTCCTGCTGGGTTAAAAGCCCCATCCAAATAGTTAATATTACTTCCCTTACATTCCTTTAGAGGCTTACAAAATATGTTTTAATGTATTTTAAAGTAGTTCCCCACACACACTCTTTCTTTTATTCCTTTTGCTCAAAGTCTTTTACTGGTGTTGTGGGAATCTCTTTGATTCCATCTACAGATTACAATTTTATGATAGATGTGAATTACAAAGGCAAAGTCAAGGGAGAGTTGAGAGGGCAGCAAGGAAACGTTTCAAAAGGAAATCTCTCACCTATACTGAAATTAGGAACAGTGAGACAAATTCATTCCTGATGTGCATCTGGAAAAGATTTGGTCCAAATTTTATTGTAAGAAAATTTTTTTTCTTCCTCTTTTCCTTCATGTTAATGTACTTCACAATGGTCATGAAATATGTCTTGCTCTGTTGCTCTGGAAATTATTATATTACTCTGCTATAATCAGTAGGACAGAGCTATGCATGGTATAACTCTCCTGAAGCATGGGGATGTACTGAACGTGACTCACCCCGGCGGCACATCTGGAGGTCATGCCTGTGATGGCATCCAACCAGAGAAGCAATGGGGGAAGATTCATTGTGTGCGAAAAGATTTGGCCTGTTTGGCCTTTTCATTTCTTATAATAGAAAACACTTCTACCCAGAAGAGTTGAATGTGGTTTTGATTCATTTTTATTGTTGGGTTGAAAATATTTGCGTACATTATTGTAGCTTTTGAGTCCTGCCATGCGTGACGGCGTTCTTGGAAACGTGCGCGCAGTTGGTTTCGAATCATCGTCCTGACAGGATCTCTGTTGTAGGATATGGCCCCGAAGCATGCACTGATAAAACACTTTGCTGCTCCCTGTGATGTCAGTTAGCTTCATACCTGTAGTCTTGTGAACCTGCATAGAAGTTTATAGTATAACATGCTCTGTGTGGGAGTTGTCTCCCTATTGCTGAAGACCTCGCTTGAGTTTCTGCTTTCCCTTTGCAGAAGGAAGGGATAGCAAGGGGAGTAGTCCCCCTGCCCAATAGATACAGGGTGAGACCAGTCAACCGCAGTCATCACAGTGTGAATCAGGGTGCCCACACAGAGTACACCTGTGCTTGTAGGTCCCACTGCAGCAGCAAGGCCTCTGCTTAGCTCTTATTCAATGATAAATGAAGCTCTGTGGTGTTTAATCTTGTACCCACCTTTAATCTTCATGCTCAGAAAATGCCACTTAGTTTTCCCATTTCTTAATATTAAGCATCCCATCAAAGAGTGTTGCTTAGACTTATTATATGGTCTCTGGAGAGAAAGTCATATTCTGGAAAGGTTCATACCATGGGCCCTGCTGCATAGGTGCACAGATGCTGCTCTTCCTTAAGTGCAGAGAAGCAATAAATTCTATATCTAAATATCAGATAGCTGAGGTGTAGGTGATTGAATCAATGCCAGACTGTTGAATGGAATGGAAATTGAAATGGTAATGCCATGGTGTCACGTTAATTCTCCATCTTCAGGTTGTCTTACATTCACGAAGAAGTAACAACAGAGGCTTCTAGTTGCAGTCTACTCTACAAAAATGTGGAGCTAAAGAAACTTGGAGCCAGAACTTATCACATCTTGCAGGAGTACAAAACCAGATAACACAGAGGCTCTATTTCCTTATCTTCTTCAGAGGAGACAAGGGAGGAGGAAGCTTCCCTGTGTTTGCTACCTGTCTTTTCAGCTGTTTGGGAAATCAGCTTTGTTTGTGATCTGTGTTGTCATGTTTGTTGCAACACTGGGAGGACAGCTGAGGTCACTGCTTCTGGCAGTATTCATGCTTAACAGGCTGTTCCCTGAAGTTCTTGAACTGCTTCTTATCTGTGCTTCTCGTTTTCTTCCACCAGTTGTAATCATGTGTGCCAGCGGTGACACTATCAGGAACATCATGTTGGCTGCTCATCGGCAAGGAATGACCAACGGGGACTACGCTTTCTTCAACATTGAACTCTTCAACAGCTCATCATACGGTAGTGTTTTTCTTGCCCAGGTGTATTGCAAAATCTTTGGAAGCTTGATAATATTTCTGGATTCGTTAGCCTCAAAATGCGCAGCACTGAGTCCCAGGAAACTCCACTGTCTCTCCCTGTTGTTGCAGTTGTCTGCCGCTTGAGCTGTGGCATTGCAGAAAATAAAACAAACCTTGTGGCTGTAGTTGATATTGGGTGGGTCACAACATACCACAGGGGTTATTTATTTTATTACTTTTCAGGGAATCAGCAGCAGGCAGAGACATTGGTTATAGTGTGGGTACCCCACTCTGTAGTGTGAGTGCTCAGGTCTAGGTGGCTTGCCATGACCCCACACTTGTGACTGCCAAATCTTGGGGTAGGGGTATTCCTGGCTGCCTGGTGACCTGTGGTCTAAGCAAATGGCTGGAAGGAGGCACTAACAACAGCCAGTGCTGTGGGCAGCTGCAGGGCTTGGGTCTCCAGAAATCATCTCATGGAGCATTCACATGTCTAATTTATTTCAGATTTTTTCAGAAACAGTATCTGCAAAAATATTCAGCCATGCTATGCGGAAGGGAAAGCACTGGATGGGACACAGGCAGTACAGATTTATTCAAGTGGATAAAAGTTACTAACTCCACAACTAAGTGAAAAGGATCATATTTGTCAAACTAAACCATGATTTCAAAATGTAAATTAGATGCATTTTCTTTTTAAAATATACCTAATTTATCTATATGCCATAGTATCAAATGTAACTGCATGTTACATCAGTGCATGGTAGGGACTAAACCTGCTTTTAGCTGCTGCAACTGTCTCACTTAAATTCAGAGTAATGTCAGAGCAACATGTTTGCTGAGTTCAAATGTTAGATGGTTGAAGATGGGGTAAGTTAATTTCCTGGAACTAGGTCTTAGTGAAGTGCCAACATGGCTTTTGAAGGGAGAAGCTTCTTTAGCAGGTACAGAGAAAATAATTTCCCCCCTGCGGATTGCTTTAACTAATCCACTACAATAACAAATTATTTCAAATTAAAAACCAAGTGGGAGATGAGAAGTGAAAATTTTTGGGTTTTGTTTCTTTAAGCCTCAAAGGCTGACCAACAGGAACAAACAAATTCAAAAAAGATTAATGTATTTTTTTAATTAATCAATTAATCACAAATTAGGTTCTTTTGCATAAACTTTTTGTTACCCATCTACCACCTCTGAGATTATTTCACAGTAAACAGTGCTGTTTGACATGCTGTATAGTGAAGGTATGTAATTCTTTGAATTCAGAGATCTAGATATAAACAGAAGTACAGATACTGCCACATGTCTAGATTAGCTAAAGAGTGCCAAGTTTTGCCAGGTAATAAGGAAATTGCTCAAATAACTACAAGATAAAGCTGTAGAACAAGATCATAGCCAGTGGTTTGAATCAAGGTTTGCTTGTTCAGTTGAATGACTTTAGAGTGACTTTATCCCTGGTGGCATGAAAAAAACTATTTGGCCTTGCAGCTTTATTCAGGATCAGAGCAAAGAGCTGAAGTTCTACCCATATCAGTAGTCACAAAAGTCTGGAGGTTTTGGCCCTTGTGTTAGACCGTGGGAGTTTTGTGGACTTGACTTTACTAGAAACCACTGATCAAATAACCCTTCTGGCTACCAGCATTGACTCACAGTAGAAATGCTTCAGAAGTGATGCATCTGGCCATAGGCACAAGTCCGTTTGTGAGCTGGGCTGTCTTTGGAGAGAAGTTGGCACTCCTGAATACCAATTCACCTCATCCTTAGGTATCCATTGTGGCTCAGATGGATCCCTTACAACTGATGGTTTCCTTGCCTTGGCTGAAATGGGCGCAGGGTGACTACCTGGGAAGTAGTAATGTGGAGATCACAGATGATGTGGGGTGGGTGTCCCCAGTGATGCAGCCCCAGGTAGATGGCATTTTGTCCAGCCATGTACGGGGCAATGCTGGAATTCTGACATGCAGCCTCCATGAGGGACAGTGGTGGGAGCAATTCCCATTTGCACCACGGTTTGTGGGAGCCTCAGCACCACCTCCTTTGCATCACAGGTACTCCTGTTTTCTTGTAGCTTTTCTAAGGGATTAATGAGAACTGTCTGTCTTCTAATGTAGTGTAGTTGGAATGTGGCATTTCCTGGCATTTCTTTTAAACCAGTTTTTCTGTTTGTGGATATTTCCCATGAGATGACTGTGCATCAGAAGTTGACTTCTGTGCAGATGGTCACTGCATATGAAAAGAAAGCTTAAGAGAAGTCGAGAGAAATTCCTCCAAAGCTCATTGTTCCCAGTGCCTGGAGATACTAGATTTTGTACTGTATAAAATCTAACAGTGGGAGTGATTGGGCAATTGGCACTGCCTTTATGTTCAGATGACTTTATTGCAGTTTGTTGTTACCCTCTGTTCTGAATATTTTTAATTTTTCGGAAGAACAGGCATATTAAATGTCAGGGTTGCAATAATTGTTTGCAATTGTACTGTAACAAAATGACCTCCCACAAAGTAATCCATGAAGGAATTTAAATATGTAAATTATTCTAGGAACGCTGTTGTGCAAGTGTACTGTCCCCACTCTGTGTCAGGATTTTTAAAAAGCAACATGTATAGTGTCCAGGATAGAAACTTACACTACCTTGTATTTTTGCATCTATGATCTTACACTTTTTAGCTATCCCATCTCCGTTTGTAAATGCAAAGCCCTCCTTTCTGTAGTCTCTGCTGTACTTGAATGCTGCACCTCTAAAATGCAGGTACCCATCTGGGGCAGAAGCTTTTCAGCTTCTAGACTCCTGCAGGGCTTGTACTCTCTTTTGGGGAATGCAGCAAGATGTGCTAGCTTGCAGTTGCTGGATGTGCATTTCTTTCTCTTGGAAAGGAGTAATGAGGACAGGTGCAGGCACTGAAGGGAAGAGTGGCAAAACCAGGCAGTGGGATATTAGTTGCTCTCCAGTGTTTCCATTTGGTCTGATGAATAGAATTTTGATGTAAGTTATTTTGATATGTTAAATTTTTTATGGGGGAAAAAGTCCCTAAACCGAGGTATATGTATCTAGAGCTTCATCCTAAAAAAGGGAAATCACTTAAAAAAAAAAAAAAAAAAAAGGAAAGAAATAGCAAAGTTCATGATATGTTAAAGATTATAGTCCTAAGTAGTGCTGGGCTGTGATAAGTAGTGCTTTACTTGGGGTGGAAAAGAGAAGGAAAGGGCTTAGGTGCACCTGTGTTTCCTGCCTTGTGCTGGGAATTACAGGAGCTGCCCTGGAACCAAAAGCTGCAGGAGAAAAGACTTAACTTCCAGAAAAGCGCAGGTCCTTTGCTCATTCCCATGCGCTCTCTGAGGAGGCAGAGCAATTCTCCAATTAATTCTCAGCAGCAGTGCCAGGGTACTGGGAGGAAAAAATGCAAGTTCTGTTTACCTGCCTCAGGGGACGGAGGTGGTATGTCCACGACTTTGCTCTTGCAGCCATGTGATGCAGCTGGTAACACTGTGCAAGGAACACCATGGGTTTGATGCCTGGACTCCATCTTCCTTAACATCTCCACTCCCAAATCACTTGCTTCTCTCTGTCCAGTGACATCTTGGTCCCCAGCCTAAGCAAAACCTCTTTCATGTGGGGTTCCTGTGTGCTTCCAGGTCACCCTTGGGAGTTCAGCATTAGTCTTTGCCTCTAGTCCTCGTTTAGCCATAACAGGGTTTGTTGCTGCTGTTTGAAAAATTGAAATATCTAGCTTTTAATTATTTGTAAACATTTAAAGGCACACTGCTTAGGGCTAGCACTGTTCCCTCTAGCCTTTTTTACCTATCATTTATGTTTTAGTTATCATTTATAGTTTAGCTATCATTATTATTCACCTGCTCCAGGACAATGTGAACCTTTTCACTGATGTCCTGAAGCTTTGGGTCTCAGGGCCTGCTGTGGCCAGTCTCTATTCTGCAGAAGGACTCCTCTGCTAGTGAGCAACTAGTCAGCTATTCTGCTTTTTAAAAATGCGGTTTCTTTACTGGTGGTCTGAGTGAAGTTGTTCCCTTGCTGTGACACGAAACGTGTTAAAAGAACAGTGTAGGTGCAGGATTCCATTTTGATTCTAAGTGTTCCTTTTCTGCTAAAAGCTGGGCCGGTATGGCAGCCACGGCACACATGGTTTTCTGCTTTACTGCAGGGGGAGAGCTGCACCATGTGCCTCCCATTCAGGGTGATGCTCATCATACTGACTTTACTGATGCCTTTCTGGCTGTCCAGTAATGTCACTGGTGGAGTGGTGTGTAACAAAATCTTTGTGCTTGAATCCTCCCCCACTACTTCTAACTTAAATATCTTTGCATTTGAGGTCCAGCTTGTGTGTTTTATTCCAAGATGTCTTCTCACACTCAGGCTTTACCCCTCCCTTTGAAAATAATCAACTGCAAGGGAATAGTTGACTTTCAGTTTGCTTGCTTACTTCCACCAGCTATTCCACACTGCCTGGTTTTCTTTGCATCTGGAGAAGGTTCAGTTTTCCCTCGTATTCTGGTGTCTCCCCAAGGTGTGTGAAGGGGGACTTCTGGGTGGAAAAAGGAAGGCAGTCCTATAATGGTACCTAGTTTGGAGCTGGAAGTATGCCTGTTTTCCCCTTTAGGAAATGGCTCTTGGAGAAGAGGAGACAAACATGACCTTGAAGCCAAGAAAGCATACTTGTACCTCCAGACCGTCACTCTGCTGAGGACCGTGAAGCCTGAGTTTGAGAAGTTTTCCCTGGAGGTGAAAAGTTCTGTTCAGAAGCAAGGTCTTCATGAGGATGACTATGTAAGTACTTGAAGAGATCACGGCATCTTCAAAAACTCACTCCTAATTATAGCAGAAATACCAGTGAGATCTACCGAGACAGAATCACCTGGGTTCAGTTGCAAAATTCTCCTGTTGCTTATATAATTTTTTTTTTTTGTGGTTAACATAAATAGCAAGAACAGACTTAGTCTAGATGCACTGGATCTGTACACCACTATCCATGGCTAGTTGGCCTATGCTCCTTCCTTAGTTCAACAGCAGGAAGGGTGGGGAAAGGCAAGTTGCCAGGTCTCTCCATTTACCACCAATTACTTGTCATCTTTTAATAGGCAAAGAACTATAGTCTTCTCATTTGTTTTCTCAGAGTAATTATTTTTTTTAAGACTCAGATCTCAGAAAGGTACATTCTCAGTATTGCATCTGATGAAGTTATTCTTGATATGAATAAGAACAAGGGTCTTATTTTCCAGCAAAGCATATTTAGATAGTTGCTGTTTTTCATTTTGAACTAAAGTATAAATATAGTCCTTCCAAGTTGTTTTAAGCCTTGGGGTATGCCACTGTTGTCCAGAGGTGGACGTGGGAAAAGTCTTTTTTTAATCTCTCAAAATGTAAAGGAGGAAAATGTCTTTGACAATTGCTTTTGCGGTACTAAGCTGGTTCATTAGGCATTTTCGTAGAAAAGTCGTCTGTGAAGGCAAGAATGTATAGCACATACCTGTAAGGATTCCTGCATGCTGATACAAGTGCTTTCCAGACAGTCAGCCTTCTCCATGGTGCAGAGTAAACTTTCCAAATGTAAAGAAGAGAGGCTTGAGGAAAGTTTGGTCAGTCTTTAGCTGTAGGAAATGAGAGCAAGGAATTAATGCCTGGAACTCATAAATCAAGTCAACCCAAACCCTTCATTTTCCAGCTCCCACTCAGGCACCTACCTCACATCTTTGCTTCAAACATTGTGTCCCTCACAGGTGGAGGCATCATCTTCAGTTCATCAGCAGAAGTTGATGAACTTGAATGTTGTGTTAAAGAACCTTTCCTGCACTTTATTCAGTCTGCCTTTAGAAAACTTGTGCTTCTTAGAAATAGAATCTATTTTATTTAAATATTAAAATGCTAAATTTGAATTACATCAGTAGTTTGTATTTTTCCTGTGATACTTTCAAAGTATAGTCATATTCTTTTGAAGGCATTTTTTTGTCTTGGGTTAGTGGAGAAGTCCCAACTAGCAATTTCAAGGTGCTGCTCTCTGAAGAACCTGCTATATGAGTTCTGAAGAAGGCAAGGAACTGTAATTTGTACTGTTCCTCCCTTTTCTCTCTCTGTGTGCTTTTGCAGGTGTCACTTAGCAAGCTATGTATGTTGAATATCTGCTATGTGCCCTTGGTTATGATTGGTGAGAAACGTGAATATTGAATATTAAAGATCCATTCAGCTGCAATTTTGTGTCTTTTTTAGTCTGGGCAGTGTGACATCTCCCCAGATCAGAAAAGCCTTATGCTGCTGAGAGCTCAGGATACTGCCTGTGGGTGGTTTGACAGCAGACATGGGAATGCTTCGCTGTTCTTTAAGATAGGGACCTCCTGCAAACCTTGTGCAGTGTTGATTTGTGCTGGATAGATACAAGATACTCTGTTAGGGTCAAGCAGAAGTGGATCTATGAGAGAGGGAATTCCCCTGTGCCAGCATGGGGGAGAGTTTGCAGGCTGATGTGCTTGCTGGGGAGATGCAACTGCCCACCCACTACCAGAAGTCCTCTTTTCTGATTCCTCACTCCATGGTCTGTGCTGAAAGTGCTCCTGCGTGTCCCAGGGCGGCTGTGTGGACTGTCTCCCTACCATCTCATCCTTAAGCACCTCCTGCCTGTCTCTGAGGGCTTCCTTTCCCTATGTCCCATTTCCACCTGTGATCCAGACATTTTCATCTTGTTCCAAGCACTCCTTCACACAAAAACATCAGCTTTTGCTAGGTTGGGCAGTGGCATGAGTGGACCCCCTCCTACTGCTGCTGCCTCTCCTGCTCCTCCTCCTGTTCTTCCTTTCGCACCTGGCTTTCTACACTCTTCCCAGTCTGTTCTTGCTGGGGCAGAGGGAGCATCTGTGATCTCTGTACACATACCACAGCTTCCTGCCGTGTGAAACATCAATCCTTGATTCACAGGAAGCCTCTTGGTGGAGGCTGTAGAGAGCTGGTCTCAGTGGAGGAGCTACAGATCATGGCTGTGGGGAAAGGAGATTTGATTTGAAATGCAGAGTGTCCTGGATGCCTACCTTACATAGCTTTTAGCGGACCCTACCTGCTTTCCCACAGCCTCCTAACAATGGTAAAATAAAATGTCCCTATGAGAGTTAATCTTGGGTTGAGTATAGCAAAAGAACATTAGCTGTGTTCCTCCATTAAAAGTGTGTGAATTTTTACTTTCTGGTTTGCTTTTCATAGTTTATGAGGAATTATACATTTCCCCACTTTGGACAGTGGGAAAGAGATGCTTCATATTCCCTTAACTAATTGTCCTGCTGCCCTGTTGAGAGGAGAAACATTTTGGGGCAGCTTTCAGAATTTAAAAAAAAAAAGCCATTCTGAAAGTTAATTGGGGAAAATAAAAAGTCACACTGAAGGCCAGTTCCTTCCTTTCTGAAAGATTTGGGGGTAGTGGGCACCCATTAACAGTGCTTCATTTGGCAGTGTGGTAAGAAAGTGCCTTAGGTGTGCACTAAGCAAGGCTGTGTCCTCCAAGGGAAGACTGGGAGGGAGAACTCCTTGAGTTGAGTGGGTGGAAAGTGACAGTGATGGATTTTTCTCTGCTGGATTCTGCTCCTGAAAACAAAAACTGTGCAGCAAGATAGTCAGTAGTACAGTCCATCTCAAGTCCTATCCACGGGTGTTGAAATATAGTCCTCATTTGTTTCTGCAAGCTTTGTCCCAAGAGGATGAACTTAGGGAGGTTTGGATTTGAAGCACTCAATGTTTCTGCCTTTCTGTGTGCATTTTTTCAGTGTCATGGGAAAATGGGGCCCCAGGTCTGTGGTCTAAATTATCTCACAGTGACCCTAACTCAAACAAAAGTCATTAGTGCTGCCATTTTGTCCTGGCCACTTGCCAGTACTAATCCTAATGGCATTATTATCTAACAAAAAAGAATATCATAAAAATGGAAAATAAGCAGATGACAGAAGGAAAGATAAGGGAGACAGAAGGGGCAAAGTTCTAAAGCAGCAGCTGTCCAGTTGCCAGATGCAGAACACATATGGCCCTTGGAGGAGTAACAGGTCAAAGAATGTTGGCCATCTCCATCTCCAGCTGTGAAATCCCACAGAGAAGAGAAAAACTTGTTCTGGGTATGTCTTTCCCAGGTCAGAAGTTACTGTTGTTTCTGCATGGGTGTTATCGTGTGGAAATTGGGAGGGTGGAAGAACCTGTGCCTTACAAATGAGCAGGAAAGTGTGGAAAAGGCAATTTCTTTGACTCTTCTAGGAATCTCTCTTGTGAAGGAAAAAGCTTCTTTAAGCACCTTTTAACTAGACAGCATTGAAAATAAGAGAGGTCCTGAGAAAGCATCTTAGAAGGATTTGTGTAGGTTGTAGTGGCACAGGATGGGGCTAAAAATGATGATGTTCCCTGTCTGCGGTGTCCCATTGCAACACCCCACAGCAAACAGCTGCCTGGGACTGCTAGCAAATATTATTAGCTTCCTTGTTCACCACTCTCTTGAGTGTGAAAGCAGTTACTGGCATTTTAATGCAACCCAAAGAACTGTGGGCTGAAGCATTAAATCTGCTCAGCCATTGTTTCAGCATTCAGCAGTGTCATTATGTTTTTCCAAGAAGCATCCTGAAGTTTTGTGGAAAACCTGAGCATTTCACTTTGTGCCTACCTGGAGAACGAACTCTCTGATAAAATATCCAAAAAAAAAGGAGGAATTTTTTCAAAAATCTATTAAAATTTGGGGTTCATTAAGGGCATTAGAATCACTTTAATGCTTTTATACCAATGACAGCAGTTTTATAATGTTAATGCATTAACAAGACATTAGCAGCAATGTGTTCTGGTCTCTATAAGCCGAGATCCTTGGTTTAATTGCAAAATACAGGACAAGCTCTCCTTGCAGGCCTGTAGCCTAGTTGAGGCAGACAGCAGTGGGAATTGCATGCAGTTACTTGAAGGAAGAATTTGAAACTGTCTCTAAATTGGTATGTGAATAACTCCCAACACATACAGTAGTTAAAAATGTTTATGAATAAACAGTGTTTCAGTTAAAGTATATGCATAAGCCATTTTTATTAAATAATGCTGAACACTTAATGAATTGGCGGTAGGCTGCAGTTGGAAGCTCTTAATGCACCTTCTGTTCCTGAGTCAAGACCAGGATTCAATAAATGCTTTTTTTATGTCCAACCCAGTATTCTGAGCTGGGATGATTTTACAGTCTGGGATATTTGCTCTTCTGAGGTTACAGACCACCCATGGCTTGTTTTTTCTTGTCCTTTAAAAGCTGAAAATGTAACTAATTAAACAAATATTTCTGCTGTGTTAGCTACACGACAGCATTGTTCATGAGGTAGAGGCATGGGTTTTATCCTACCCACAGTCTTTTTCACCCTGAAAATGAGCATCAGGAAAAGTGGACTGGAGCCTGATTTGCCAGTTATCTCAGTGAAAGAATGAGGTACATAGATTAATTAGGTCAGCAAGATGCTGCTACCTATTGGAAAGGGCATCTCTGTTTTATTTAACATTTTCAGCCCTCTGAAATGAGAAATGGTGCACTTAAGAGCAACTGTTCTAGCTCCAGCAGTTAACTACAAAAGCTACATGGGAGGTAGCTCACAAAGTTTATCATCTCATCCATAACATCTGTGCCAGACTTTTCTCTGTGTGTCTTCCTTACGTCAGCATTTTAATTAGGATTGCACACCAGCTAAGATAAGGTTGGGATAAGCGAGCAATTCAATTGTGTCGCTGAGATGCTGAAAATGTAACTTATTCAGTGGTGTCTGTCCCACTTGTCTTTTTTTCAGGCA